ATTATCTAAAAATGAACAAATTACTCAAGTGAGTATTTACAAAGATTAATTAGGAAAAAAAAAAATCATCTTAAGCAGTTTTTAGATAAAACAACTGACAATAAAACAGATTCAAAATTACATCAAATCCACAAACAAGTGGATTTATTCCTCTATGTTAATGTCTCTTGGGACAATCTTGAGTCTAGAACTATGGGCTTTGAAACTAACAGTTTTATTGTCAGCCTGCTGCTCCCACTGCTGTCATACTTGACTTCATTCACTTGATACTTTTTTTTTTAATTTTTTTTTTTATTGCTGCTGCTGAGGCCTTTGCTGTCAAGCTTGCCCTCTCTTTACCATAGTTTCTTTATCAATGGCTCCCATATCATCTATTTATAGTCTAGCATAAAGAGCTGATGGCAAGAGAGCCAAAACTTGACAGCAAAGGCTTCAACAGCAATAGTAAGAAAGAGAAACAACAGGCAAAGGAGGTCAAGCAAGACATCAGGCAGGCAATAAGAACATTAGGTTTAAGGCTCTCAGCTTCAAGACTGCCTAGAGGATTAAAAAATTGTTTTATGAATTTGGTGGCATAGTAATTGTGAGTTCACTCCCTGGGCTAGGTAGTACAGACTGACTCAGTGAAAACAGGGTAAGCAATAACAGAGTAGTACTGAAGGACAATTAACAAAGACAAGATATCCCTAGGTATGTACAGTGGAACAAGAACACTACCTTCATAGATTATATAAAGGCTTCAGTTTGAAATTCCCTGAAGAAGGTCAGAGGGCATCAACCAAAATGTTATGATAAAGATGAGTAAAGGATTCACTTCAAAATTCTCTGAAGGTTACTCAAATTGACAAACATTTGAAGAAGGCTGGAGAGCACAATGGCCAAAATGTGATAACAACCAAGATGAGGATACTAGTCCAAATGTAAATAAGGAAATTTATTTGAATGTAAATTATTGCTTATGTCTTTTTAAAAGTAAAAATAGTTCATCAAAATATACAAACTATTAATGCAAATAAAGGTTTTAAATGTTTTTTTTTTTTTTATTACTGAGGGCTTAGGGTACTACTTATTGATTAATTCTGTAGTAGAGTAAATTAAATTTTCATTGCGTGTCCTACTACTAATAATTAATATAATTGGTCTAATAATTATAATACTATGAACTTTGTTTTTCAAAGAAGAAAATAGGTTTTAAGTGCTTTTTCTCATCATTAAAAATGTGCAGTGTTCATTTCATATGCATATATTGCACACCAGAATGTTTCCTCAGTGATGTCTATTCTGAGGTCAGAGAAAGTTTTAGGCTCCTGTGACATCAGACTTTCTCTCCCATGGGCCCAGCTGAGAGTGATCATTTGACCAGTATTCTGGCATAGCTTCCACATAACAAGAATTGTAAACAATATTTATACTTATGCAAATAAGATCCTACTCAATTCTATATAGGAATTCTGACCCATCTGGATTAGTTTGTACTATGAGGATCTAAAAATTTTACAGTTTTATTCATAAAACTAAAAATTAACTCTGTATAGGACATAACTATTTAAAATCTGTACAGGTTTAATATGAACATGGCAAAATATCTATTGAACAGATGAGTGGGGAAAGTTATCTAATAAAGTTAGGAACAATTTATTTTTATTTATTTATTTTTTTAAAATTGGATTCACCCTAAGCAAAGCAGTAATGCTACTAACAAGGGGTTACAGGGCATGGAAGGATTAAAAGAAGAAACATTAATGAGCAGAAAGGGTAGAGATTAATCCAGTGGACAGTAGATAGTGATTGACATTAATTTCTACACAATATCAATTGTGCATATTATTGATAAGAGGAAAATCTCAAAAAAAAAAAAAAAAAAAAAAAAAATGGCAGGCATAAGTGAAAAATACCTATATTGTGTTCAAGATTAACAGAAAAGACTTTAAATAGAAGTGATAAAATGAAATCGGCTGGTGACATTGCAGAAAGTCTATATTTATTTTAAAATTCCTCTAGCCACTGAATAGATGTTCACATTGTATTTCAATGTGATCAAATGGATTACCTCATCTAAAGAATCTGTAGATTGTAATTTAAGTTGCTTACTTAGAGAAAAGCTATCGTAAAGGTCCTCTCTGCTTTGGGTAGCCACTTACATAGTGTTCAGTTTAGGCCGAAAGTGTAAAAAGAAAATCAGTAATAATTGTTCTAATATAGACAATAGTTACTGCATTAAAATTTATTGATTTAAAAAGCATTAAGTAGTATAAACAGTGTTTTTACAATTACAGGGGTAGGGGAGGTAAAAGAAAGACAAAATTTGTTTTGGGTGGATGAGGTAGTTTTCAGGAGATACCCAACACAATGGATACAACCAGTTAATATACATCTTGTTTTAGGGGAAAGAAGTATGACAAAGTGGAAAAAGTTTTTATGTGACATCCTTTGTCCTTTAGGAATTCAGACTAAAGTGATGTTCATACTGATGCTATGATTTTTTTTTTTTTTTTTTTTAAATATATATTTTGGGTATATAGACGAGGTGATTTCATCACTTTTCTTATTAAATGTTAAATAAATGTGATAAGATATGTTAAGAAAAGTGAATTGTTATAAGGACCTGGAAGTAAATTTATAAATTTACTGTGGAGGATCTAGTGATTAAAGCAATTTTTATATATTTTCATTTTAGTAAACTGCTTTCTCTTTATTTGAGTACCATTATTTTTTAAATATATCTCAGAATTGTAGAGCATTATATAAATATTTAAATACACACACACATATATATATATATATATATATATATATATATATATATATATATATATATATATATATATATATATATATATATATATATATATATATATATATCTTATACCTAAAGGATGAAATGCATAACATAAAAACTTTCAACTTGTCATATTTCTTTTCCTCTACAATTGTTCTCAATATATAGAAGTTTTTTTTTTTTTTTTTTTTTTATATCATTATCCATCATCTTATGAGTATTTTCTTATGCAATCAGCCAAATTGAACATACCAAATTATTAAAGTACAATAAAATAAATAAAAAAAATATCTGTGTTTGAGCCATAATCTAACATTTTGTTATAACTATAAAAATTAATGTAGATAGTTGCTTTGGCATGGTGTAATGATACTACTGAATCAGGAGTTCAAGCCTCCTTGGGTGACCTATACTTGTGGCTTTGTTTACTAAGACAAGCTTAATCTGTCACGACAAATATAAAAGTTAATGTGTGACTTATAACAATAACAGTTTACCTGGTCTTTCATGCAGTAAAATAGAAATAAACTTTGGCAACAAAAAATGTATAATTTATTAATTACAAATACAATTATATTTAAATAAATTGTCATTGCAACAAAAATGATTCAATATTTCTTAAATATTTACTTAAAAAGTCATTGACAGAAATTTTCTGAGTCATTTGTTTCAACAACAGTTATTCAAGTAAAATTTTTAAAAAAGTGGGGGGGGGGGTGTAAAAAACAAAAAAAAAAAAAAAACAAAAAACTATTAAATACATTTTAAATATTTTAAAGGTGTTAAAATGTTACAAAACAAATCTTTTTAAAATTTAAAAAAGATAATACTAACAAAATAGGCAAAGCAATCAATGAAATCAGAAACTGAACAATTGTCCACTGAAATGGTTTAAAAATGGAAAAAGGTGGAATGTTAATAAATGAATTAGTAAACTATAGAAATCTAACAGGGATATGTTGCAAGACATTATAATTACTATCTAAAAGAACAAAAAATTAAAACTTGCAATTTTCTTGTAAAAGCAGAAAAAAATGAGGATAAAATTTATCAATACAAATTTCTTTTCAGGTCATTTAAAATTAAAATCAGGTGTTTTCAGTATTTTTAACTATTTGATAGCCAAAGTTAAAAAGATTGATTTTTTTTTTTTTTATTTGACTTTCATATGGCTGAAGAGTGTTATTTCAAGTAGCATAAAGATTAGTCATTCTATATAAAATTACTTGCTTTTATACAAGTGGATTGATTTAAAATTTGTTCAATTAAAAACTGAATTCCAAAACATATCACAGTTACAATTTTTATTTGAAGTTTTTTTGTTTTTTTTTTTTTTACTAATACAGTTTGAACTTTAAGTTTTTTTTTATTTATTTATTTTGGACTGAGTTTTCTGATATTTTGTAGAAAATTTGATATGCAGACAGTACAGTCATTTTCATATTTCCTAAAAGGATAAAGTTTGGGTACCAACAAGAGAGAAAATAAAACTATTTATACTTTTTACAGACTACCCAAATCTCTTGTCTGTCACCCAACCAAGCTGACTGAAATACTGTCAATAAAACAACTCAGTGTGTGCAAACAAAGCATGAGTAACATCAGAAAACTTATCCAAAAATGTCAATTCAGGATGTGAACTTGCATAGCAAATATTGTAACCCTAGCAAGTGGATATTAGCCAGAGGCAATAAAAAAAAACAAAACAAAAACCCTCAGGTAATATCTGAATGTTTTTTTTTTCTCTTTGCTTTAGCCTTTTCTGAGATTGATTTGTAGTGGCAGCTAGAAAGCACAAAGTTTGGCACATTTTCTCAGCATTGTTCTCTGGAAAATAGAAGGAAACGGGGGAGGGAGAGAGAGAGAGAGGGGAGGGAGGAGAGAGAGAGAGGGGGAAAGAAAGGAGAAAATAGAAAGGAAATCAAGGAAGAAGAAAATAATAGAGTGAGGCAGTTGACATGAAGAAATCCAACCTGCTAAGATGGAATGTTTTGTTTTTTTTCTTTGTAGGAGAAGGGAGTGGGGAAAGTGGGTCCAAGATGAGCATCCTAGTGTTTACATTTACTTGTGGAGATCAAATATCTCCTAAAAAGTCTTGGGGAGGGAGTGGTGGGGCTGTAGTCATTTGAATAGAGAGATGAGTTTGACCATCTTTACCCCCCTCTCTTTCTGTACAATAACAATGTCATTCATCTATTTAAGTCAATTGCTAATCACTGACTTCCGAGCTGCAACGAGACCGCTGTCTGCGGGATGTAGAGGAAGAAACAAAGATGCAAAGTCCTCTTGCTTGGTCTTCTCGAATCTGTTCAAGCCATTCTTCTTGTCTGGAGGGATCTACATATGACACACACTGATGGAGAAGAGAAAAATATATTTAATGACATAACAAAATATGATCATTTGTTAATATTTAAAAACAACTTATTTTTTGCAGAAAGCAAAATGTTAAACAAAGTGAGATATCAGATTCAATTTGTTTGTTTTTATGTTTTTACTTAAAAACAGTCAACTTTAAATATGGTCCTCCTCAGCAAAAAGAGACCTTATAAATTTACCATAGTCTATGTGAAAAAAATATCTGGAGAGAATGGATTCAAATGCCAAATAATAAATGTTGTTCTTGTAAAATAAATTAGCTTTTTAAACACTTGCGGAATCTTCTAGTCTGTACTTTTTGCAAGGTTAGATCAATGAAGTCTTATTCAACATTAACTTTAAATCTGAAATATTCATGGCATAGTATCCCATCTATATAATACACGATCATAGGGTTAAGTGATTTGTCAAAAGAAAAGTATTCATGTAAAACAAATACTTTCGTCATTAATCTCAAGACTTTTTGATGTATCTACATATGTTTCTGCAAAAGAATTCAGAGTCACAAAAATGAACAAAATATTGCTAAAATGAAATTTCAATGTATTAAAATCTTTAGCACTCTGTAGGTGATTATTTTCACCACGCAAAATGTTAATCCTGCCAATGCAATTTGAATTTCTTTGTGTAGTGATATCCTTCTATGATAACCCCTAAAAACACTCTTGACTGAAATTGAGAGCCAGGCTACTGCAATTTCTTATATAACTAATATATAAAACACTATATTTCGAGGTGATTCCATATACAATAAAAGGGGAAGTAATATTTAGAAATGATGCAAAGTGCTAAATGTCAAAATAATCATTTCACAGTCAGCTAATTTATAAGACGCTATAATATTTGTTAACATTTGGAAGTACTTTCATAATAGTTGTTTTTAGTATCACAAGTAGTTAATTCTCTAACATGCATACAAGAAGAATGATCACCTAATTTAATTTATATGAGACACCACTTAGACTAACATCTTTAACCTTCAAATTGAGAATTGTGCCACTGTGATTTCCTCTTAGGTCAAAGTTGGCATAGATGCTTTCATTCCTTTTAGGAAATACCATGTGAAACCTCAAATCTTCTTCATGGTCTGCTGCCATAGCCCACAGGAACAACTATTTTTGGCTAGACTCATTACAGCTCTTTTCACAACAGACACCTATTGGTTTCTGCTCATAATAAATGTAATTCGAGTCCTCAAAGGAGCTAAGTTTCTGTTTGCTAAGAGAATGAAACACTGTATTGCATCTATCAACTCATTACTGGTGGCTCTGTAATAGTGAAATAAGTGTAAGATCAATTCCTCCTCTCTTCAATCAATTTGAGATATAAACATCTGCTGATGAAGCTGAATGTTTTGCCTGTAAATTCTTCTTAAACTTTACTCTTGACTCATCTGGATTATTCTTGCCTAATTTCCCACTTCTGTTGAGTGATATGCATATAACCCCCCTTTTTTTTATAGTTTCTGCTATCATCTTTAAGCTTGATTCCCACAAAGTATGTGGACCTGATGGTATCCCTCTAATAGTCCTTAAGAAATGTGCTCTTGAACTGGCTCCTGTTCTTTCTTTAGTAAATGTGTTGCTGCCAGTTTTCTTGCTTGTTGGAAATCTTCACTTGTTGTTTCAGTCTTTAAAAACAGAGGTGAATCTTTCTAACTAATGGAGTATTAGCCTTCTACCTCTTTTTGGCCAAACTACTAGAGGCCCTATTCAATGCTGAATTTGTTAAGCATATCACATGGCAGGGACTTTTTTTAGACAAGCAATGTAGCTTTCATTTCTTCAAGTCAACTGCTGATGTATTGACGATAATTGTAGAATGAGTATCAAGCTCTAGATAAGAATAGTGAAGCCTGGGTTGTAGCTTTAGACATCTTCAAAGCTTTTGACAGGGTTTGGTATACAGGTCTTCTCCACAAGCTGAAAAGTTATGGTGTTTCCAGACAAATTTTTGAACTGATCCAGTCTTTCCTTTCAAATCATGAAATGAAAGGAATCCTGAATGGCCACTCACCTAGATCCTTTCATGTTAATGCAGGTGTCCCTCAGGGCTCCATCTTTAGTCCTACTTTGTTTTTAATTTTCATTAATGACCTTCATGATGACATCAGCTCTCAATTTGGTATCTATGCTGATGATGCAAACATTTACTCCTATTTTGGTAAGTGATCAGTTTGAGAAGGTCAAATTGGCAGCTGATGTCCAAAAAGACCTTCAGTATTGTTAACTGGGGCAAGGATGGCTTGTTAATTTTAATGCCTCTAAAATTAAACTACTCTCCAGTAATCATCTGAGAGCCCACTCTGACTTCCGTCAATATGGCTGATAATAACCTCCAGGAGAGCGACTCATTGCACTTTCTTGAGCTAACATTCTTGGCTGACATGAAGTGGAAAGACTATATTAAATCTATGGTTAGGTCAGCTGCTAAGAAAGTTGGTTCACTGTGTCATGTGAGAATTTTTCTCTCCAGAATCTTATACATCTATAAATCTACCATTGGTCCATTCTTAGAATATTGCTGCCACATATGGTCCAGTGCTCCTGCTATTTATCTAGAGCTCCTTAATAATATCTAAAGAAGAACCTGCAATATTATTGGTCCTGATCTGGTGTCTCAGCTTCAATCACTTTCCCCACCATCATAAGGTTGCCTCCTTGTGGCTTTTCTATAAATACTTTCATGGCAATTTTTTGGATGAGCTCTTTGCTATGGTACCTAAACTCTATGAATTGAAGTGCAGTACTAGACTGGTGTTGAGATATCACCAATTTACATCTGAGCTGTCTAGATGTAACCATAAAATAACAGTTTCTTTTCTAACACTTCTTGCTTGTGTAACTTCCTTCCAGCTCCATGATTTCCAGCCAACTTTAATCTGCAAAAATTTAAATGCAATGTCAATCACTATGAACTGTCTTGATTACTCTTTTGTTCTTGCTCCTTAGTAATATTTCTGTTTTTAATTCTTGCATGCCTAGTAATACTGTGTCTTATTTGCTTTACTGCCTTGCTTAGGGTGAACTCCATTTAAAAAAAAAAAAAAAGGATAAAAAAGCAGGCTTGCACAAAAATATGAAAGGCCATATGATAAAAGTAAATGCAGGATGGCAAGAATTTAAAAGTATAAATTAGATACAAAGACACTGAAATAATGGTTGAATAAAGTAATGCTTACATAAAACTAAATTTGTTGTAAGTGATCAATTGCCAAACTTGTTCTGATGAACACAAATTTGACTATTTTGACTGATTTTTTTTTTTTTTACAGCTTATCAACCTTTTAATATTTTTAGATTGTAAGTTTTTTTTTTTTTTTACTAATACAAGTCCCACTAATTAACCCATAGTGAGGGGAGAATAGACGGATTCATACCTTTTCCAAGGGTATTTGAACATGAGTTAATAATTAACCTGTTATTTGTTCCGATTTCCAATTCCAAGGCGTTATCCATTACACCCGTTGCACATCCAAGCTTACAGCAACTGATGTTCCCAAGTGGTCATTCATCTAAGTACTAACCAGGCTTGATGTTGTTTAACTCTAGTTATCATATGAGAACTGGTTGTTTCAGCATGATCTGGTTGTAATCCACTATTTTGAATACTCCTTGCAGGCCACTGGGTGAGCTGCAATGTGGCCCACAGGCTGTATTTTGTGCAAGCCTGATTTATACTATAAAGACCAGAAATGTTAAGTGAAGCAATTTAGAGGATGAAGGTGAGTAAAATTAAAGATAAAATGAGAAATTATATTCCATGTAATAAAAAAAAAAGTGCCAACTGCACTTTATTTAGATAGTTGTTATAGTCAATAAAGAAAAATATTTACATCTTGTGATGAAAATAAGTCTGGGAAATTTGATTTCAATCTTGAATAATCTTTGGGAGGTTGCCGGGATGAAGGTGATGTTGAGAGATTCAGCAGTTTTTGTCTTGATAACTTGCAATTTAATTTGTCTGGAGGGTTTGCTGTAGAAATAATTAAAAATGTTTAAGTTTTTAGGATGAAATGGAAAAGAATGATATAACAAGTCTATAAAACAAAAGCACCAACAAACAGGAAAAAAAACTGGAAGAAAAGAGAAAGACAAAAAAGAAAGAAAAAGAAAACCAATAAAAACAAAAAGGAAAATGAAAACCAACAGAGACAAAAAAATAGACAAAAATGCAACTATCAGTCAATCAATGGTTGTTAGTAAGTTGTACAGATTTGAAAGAGATTGCGGGTCTGAAACTTGCAATTAAAAACAATAATGAAATTACAATGAAAGAAATAATTTAAAATAATTGATAATGCTTCAATTTAAAAAAAAAAAAAAATATTCAAAATTTATAGTCTCTTTTTACAAATGAAAAAGACCTTTATTTTTCCACCCCATTTAATAAAACCATTTATAGTAATATATTCATTAAAAAAAAAAAAAAAAAAAAAAAAAAATACGACAACAAAAAAATAAACATTTCATCGAGATTTACCAAATTATTTCTGAAAAAATGTATAATTTTGCTGTTAAACAAATTTACTTATACATTTCTTAAATCAGAATTTCTTACCTAACTTTGGGAGAAGATCATTCATTATATATAGTACATCAGTTAAGGAATGGTATTTTTTTTCTTTCATGTTTCCAAATAAACAGGGATTGAATTCTGTGGCACAATCTGCAGATTTGGGCTCGCTGACTTTCTGTAAAAGAAAATAACTTTTAATAAACTAGTCAACAGGACAACTTAGAATTTTCAAAAGGTTTACTGCTATGTTAACATTTTCATGAAGTCATATTAATGTATATATATATATATATATATATATATATATATATATATATACACACACACACTAAGGTCAGTACCCAGCAGTGAGTGTTTCATGCTTATATGCAATCTTCAGGCTATATGTGTTGGGTTTTGGCTTGTGTTGGTTAATGGTATATTATGGGTAGAAGGTCTATTGTATTATAACAGTTATAGGGTGGGAAGTAACCGTTATGTTTCAAATTATTCTAGAGGCTACTCAGTAGAAATAATTGTGGATTTGAATGTGGTTATTTGTTACTATTTTATAGTGATGTTTAACTTTTCCTTTTCACAAGTTTTTTTATTACTTTAATATTTCTTGTTATTACATTTACTTGTGTGCATTCAAAATTTGTTAATTTGTTTTAATTAATTTTTTTGTTTTTAATTATTTGTTGATTTTTTTGTATTCATTTTTAGTTTTCAATTTTTAAGTAAGGTAGTAAAAATGTGTTTTTGTATTGGCATCTTGAGATAAGTTCTAATTGTTTTAGCAATGTGTTGGTCTGTAAAGGTAATTATAGCTATTTTTTTTCTTCAGACAGAATTTAAAGTATATATATATATATATATATATATATAAAAACACAGATCTTTGTGTATGCACCTGGAGATTCTCAATTTTCAGGATTGTAACGAGCTTTTACTTCTGCAAAATGTTCTGAACATGCGAGTTGCTTCCCTTGCTTAGAGCCTTGATTTCAATTTTCTTCTTTTGAATAAGCATATGCAGACATGAAAGGCCAGTTAAGCCTTACAAATATTTGGAGGAGTATACGTTTACATAGAAGTTACTCTAAAAACAAAATGGACATTGCAGAGCAGTTAATCATTTATGCAAATAAGAGTGCATAAGCTATAAATAAATATTTCTAGGTACCATATATGGAGTGAAGTCATGGCTCATAAATCCATTTAGAATGAACTATACACTCATGAAATTATTTATAGACTTTGTTGCTCTTCATTAATTTTTGATAATCACAAAAAAATACTGTGCTGTAAATTCTGAAAAGATTATCCTATCTTTCAGAAAAGATCATACATAGTTAACTTGTATTAGTACAAATTCATGTTATTTAATCTCCATTATTACCATGGGGTGTTTGAACGCCTCCACAAAATGTTTCTTTAGTATTTATCGAGTGATGTCAGGTAGCTTTCTCAATACCTCTGTCAAGTTAGCAGTTGTGAGGTGCTCAAGTATCCCATGGTATTAAAGTGATTTTTATATATTTTTTTTCAAGATTGAGACACCTTTTAAATTTGTTTAATTATACAGTAATAAGCAAAAATATAGTTTTATGTATTTAGTTATGTAGATAACTTGTAATTTTCCCATTAATATAGCTTCTGTATTTTGTCTTTATAGTCAAATATGATAAACAGGAAACATTTTTTAATTTTTTTTTCAAACTATTTTTTTATTTATCCTCTAAAAGCCAGAAAGCACCATCAAGACAATATATAAGAAGGAAATTAAGACCTAAATTATATATTTTAAATTGGGGTATTTAAAAATCCCATGGTACTAATGCTGTGTCAATGGCCCACAGAACTAACAGAGGATTGACATACAATCTTCCTATCCTTTAATTTAGCCTTGCCATATATCATCGTATGGCCACTTTGGTGTGGTGTAATGGTTAACAACCGTGTCTTGTTAGATCATTTATGACCGAGTATGGAATTTGATTCTCACTGAGTGCTCCATACTTTCAGCCTTGTGTCACATCTAAACTTTGCTTAGTAAATTGCTATTATATCATTGCATAACAATGTTCTTTTCATCTTTTTATTTATCCTCTAAAAGCTAGAAAGAACCATCAAGAGAATATATAACAAGGAAATTAAGACCTAAATAATTTTAAATTGGGTGTTTGAAAATCACATGATACTGATGAAGTGACAATCTGCCAGAGTACTAATGGTGTGTTAATGGCTGAGAAGAAATTTTTGCATAACTGTTCTTGTGCAAATATACACTGCTGGAATTCTGCATCTTAGTAATGCAGAACAATCCAGAGATTTGGCCCTTCCTACTACGTGTGTGTGTGTGTGTGTGTGTGTGTGTGTGTGTGTATATATATATATATATATATATATACAGCAAGCCACTAAACTCAAATTGAGAAATGAAAACAGTCAACCACAGGCTCTTATCCTTCTTCTGGTTTTCACAAGCAGAAACTCAGAAAATAATCCTAGATTTTTTTTTCTCTACTTTCTTCAAGCATCTATAATAAACTGATTCCTTTTTTTCCCTATATTGCAACCATTTTGCTTAAAATTCATATTTTCTTCAGATGAAAACTTAAATTTTTCCAACATATTTCAGTGAAATTGTCACTTTCTAAAATTATAGTTTAGATGTATGGAAAAATGTGTCAGTTTAAATTTACACCAGGAGAATATAGATTAAAGATTGCTTTAAACATTAATTAAAATATTTATAGTCTTTTTTTTTTTTTTTAAATTCCATCACACGACCAACAATGTCAGTTAGAACATTTGCCATGGAAATAGCAATAGGGTAGTGATAGGCTTGTGACATTGCATCTGTAGGTAAAAGGGGTTTTAAGATGGAAGATAATTCATTACCCACAAGGCCACAAACGTTTTTATCAAGGCTGGAAAGAGGATTGGGCAGCTTCAGACCAGATATGGCAGCAATACTCCATCCAGCATTTGCATAATTCCTGCTGATCTAAATGCTATTTTAGATCCCCTTTCTCTAAAACAGTTTATCACTGCTGCAACCAACATTTCCTCATCTTGGTCCTCATCTCCTGCCATCTATTTGCTCAGGTTCACAGATATCCCCTGTTGTAGTAATGGGTGATGTCTTTTCCAATTTACTTGTGACTTGAATTTCTCACACACACACAAACATTCAGCACAGAGCCAATGTTGAACTCTCACCAATTTACATGCATCTTAACCTTTCTGGCCTGAAATAGGATTTTATTTCATATGATGCATTGTCATGTAATTCCTTCAGGCCTTTGGTTTCAAAACAATGCACATAGATAATACCCTTCTTGGAATCTTGAGAACTTCAGCCAGGACCTTCCTAAACCATAGAGAAAAACAGAAAATCTCACTGTGGTCTGCCGTCTTTCTGAGGGTACAAAACGGAGTTTCCATTGTAAAGCAAATTCATGAATTGGCTTCTCCTCATATGACGTTTAAGGAGTAATTCTGTAGTTCCTTTAAGTTCAAACTTTCTGCTGTAATTACTGATTTGACCCAGGCAAACACTACGGACTATTTTTATTTTTGATCTCTCAGTCTCCACTTCAAAGTCAAATTCAAACTCTTCATTACTGTTTCAATTTGGCTAGACAGCTAGCATTAAAAAGGCCTTCACCTCCCTGCTACATACCATTGCTAATATTGCACATTGGTGACAACTGGGTAGGAGGAGTAGCTACTGATGCAGTAACTCCTTTTCTTATTTTCCTGGCTACAGTATTTTGCTATATGATCCTACCCGACTATACTAATTCTGGCCTCAATCTTTAATCAGGTGTGGCCCTTGACATCTGAAGTACTGCTTGCTAAATGTCTACCTAATCTCCTTTTGGTTTTTTCACTGCCCCTAACTAAAATGCTCTTTATGTAAGGTAATTGTTAAAGGGTGTCCGAGGTCTGATCCAGGAAACCAATTACAAATGACAACTTCTGCCACCCTCATAAATACTAACTCTCCTATCCTCATAATTTTGTTAATGTAAATATTGACTTGTTTACCTGCATATTTTACCTTTCCCAGTTTCCTATAGCCACAAATTAATCATCTAGTAATTGGTCTAATTCACCTATCTCTAAGTATTGTCCCAATGCATATGCTTCCAAATAGAGTGGTATGAAGGTAGCATGATCAAGAGTATTGAAGTTATGCATCAGTTTAACCTTTTTTTTTAAACCATGCAACCATACTGCCCTTACCAATGAATAGTTTCACTATATTGCCACTTAGTCTGAATTTCCTTGCCATCTTGTGTACCTTTAAAATTAAAACAGCTTGTGGTTTAATAGCCGAGAGGGACAAGACATTGCTTAGCTGTGCTTGTGCAAATATACATTGCTGCAATCCTGCAACTAAATAATGCAAAAATATTTTTCACTGGTGATATACATGCACACACAACAAGCAAAAACATTCAACAATAGGTGAATCTTCCTGGTTCAGCCATGATTTTATCTGCCTCCTCATTCCTACTTTTGGTTTTTCACCCACAGAAATCCAGTATATAATCTGCCAAGATTTAGTTTCTTCATATATAACATAAGTTTAATTTTCATTACTGTGTAAAAAAAAACAAAAATAAAACAATGTTTTCAATGTTTTTAAAATTGTAAAACATGGACAAGATTTTTTTTTTTTAAATAAAATTCTCAAAGCTTTAGCAATAGTTAGCCACTTATTTCAAGACATTACTAATTTTTTTCAAGCAGATTTTTATTCCTTTTTAGGTTAGAAATCTTGCTCAAATCTTGAAGTTATTTCAATTTTAAACTAATTTTTCAAGAAGCATCTGAATTCTTGTAATTCAGTTAATGAGGGAATTGAACATCTACATTTTTCTAATGGCCAGCTACCTGTTTCTAAGCGCACATGAAGCCCACCTGTAGTTTTCAGGGCAAGTGGGACAGAGAAAAACAGCACATAACCTGTCAAACAAACTTGTGTAAATGGATGGAATAACAAGGTTTAAGAGATAAAGCAAAAGACAATTTATTAAAGGCTACAAAAACAGAAAATTGTGGAGAGCCACGATCCCCAACATCCTGAAGAGGCACAATGCATAGATGATGCTGAGCAGACCTTAGCTTCTGGGAGAGAAAGCATCATCTAGCATGATCAACAGATTGAATAAGGCCAGTACACTCATTCAAACCCTCACTCATGCTGACTTGTGACTTTATGCTAGCACAACTTTCAACAGCTTCCAAACAGTTCCATCTACCCAATTTCACTGACAAGGCTTGGGTAAAGGCTGTGGTATGGTTTTCAGACACTTTTCAAAAAGGTGCTGTATGCTCAGATAGCTTCCCCAGGCATATAACAAAATTACTATCCTGATAAATTGACTATAGTGGAATTGGAACATGGGTCTCATGGTCAGAACACATGTTCTAACCACTTGACCATATTTTTCTAATACATTAATATTAATATATTTTTAACCTGTAAAAAGAATTTTTTCTTTTTTGTAGTTTATTTGATAACTTAGTTTTCTTAATTGTGAACTTGATGTACAGATATATCTAGGACATTTAAAATTATGCTATTGCTATACGTTTATAGCAAAATCAATATTTTTTGACTTTAAGATCATAAAAACCTTTAAAGCTTAGATAGATTCAGTCTGTCATAGCAGAATAACGTTTGATAAAAAGTTTAGAAAACAAGTTTAATCATTTGATCAATTCTGGCAAACCTGTGGGTAAGTCAGTCTTACAAACAGCATCCTCATAGGAATCTGCAATAACATAATATCAAATTTTAAAAATTAAATCCAAATCCTCCCAAGAATTGATAAGAGTAGATTTGAGTGGTTCAGTGACACTACTTTCAATATACTACTATGCTAGAAAATTCAACAATTTTTGGATACCTGATGTCAAATAGTATGAATACATATTCTCGCCTAAGAGAGAGATCAATCAACAAATGCATTATTATTAAGAATGGTATTTATTTACCACTGTTGGAGGTGTATATCCTTGTATTGGTTCAGTGGATATACTCCGTTGAAACACACAACCAAATTTGTCTTTTGTTACTGTCACTTCATGGAGTCTTTTCTGCAAAGAAAGAAAAATAAAAATAAAAAAAAAAAATGAAAGTCATTTCTGATAAATAGACATTTGGAGAAATTAATTATTTGTCAAGTCTTAACACAATACACTTAATCTCATATTATTAACTATTTTTTTTGCACATATAGTAAGAATAAAGCGTCAGTAATTATTGGAATTTAAAGGTTAATTTCCAGAATAACTGCACCATACATTTTTGCAGTCGTAAACAGCAGTCACTTGTATGAATTGCCATAAATTTTGAAAGCACTCTACTACTTTTTTCCAATAATGTATTACAATTTACAGACAATGAAATAAAACCTGTGGAGAGTCATGATTGCCTTCATGGTGGTGGCACACACACAATATATATATATATATATATATATATATATGAAAAATATAGTTTTAAGGTATGCTATAATTATGGGTAAAAGTGATCAATATTAGAGGGACATATGTAAATGTAACAGTGGACACTGAGGTCAACATTGGTGACTGTTTCATGCTTAAATGCAATATTCAGGCCATTTGTGTTGTGTTTTGGCTTGACCATATATGCTGGTCAATGGTGCATTTATATATATATATATATATATATATATGTGTGTGTGTGTGTGTGTGAAAATTATATATACATTTTTATATATCAAAAACTATGACAAAATGAAAAATCTTTAGGACTTCATCTGTCTTGGGTATATATTTTAGGTGATTTACTTTAGTTTTTTTAGGCTCCTATCACTTTTGTTATTAAATAGCCCACATTGTGATAACAGAAGATCTTTCAAGAAGGATTAAATGTTGTAATAAGCTGGATGTAAATTTACTGTGGATGATCTAGTGATTAAAGCACTTTCTATACATTTTCATCTTAGTAAACTGCTTTCTCTTAATTACAGTAGCAATTTTTTTTTAAAATCACACATTACACACACACACATACATTACAAATAAATTTCTTTTTGTGTCTGTCTTTCTGGATATTTATTCATGCCTCACCACTGAGACAGGATGTGACGCAAGCTCTGACTTAATGTTAGGATCCCAAGTGTGTACACTCAGGCAAAATATAAATATTGCCCAAGCCCATGCAACTGTTGGGTGAGCTGGCCTCTGTAGAGACTACCGAAGTCCCACCCACTCTCTGGCAGCTATTCCCCAGGTCTAGGAACCTCAAAATATTATTTTCCTCAGCTGCATCAGAGTTGCACTCTGCCTGAAGACCGAGATGCAACTGAGTGATGATATTAGACAGACATAAATGTCTGTCATGAAACAGGGCTGTATTTAATGCTAATGAATTAAGACAGTGTGCTGGTACAGGTTATAACTTCTATTGGGATTATAAAATTTGTCCCAAAATATAAAAATCCACAAATAGTCAGATTTAGAATTTTATTAAAATTAAACTAATAATAATTATAAAATATGAATATTCTCAAAGAAAGAACATTTTAATTTTATTTGACTATAAAAGAAAATTGACCTGACAATAAAAATATTTTTTAAATAAAAACAAAAAAATTTAAGTAACAAGGTTTGAGATCTTGGTTAGATAAACCAAAATATAAATAAAATTTTTGAAGTAGCTAAAAACATTATGTCCAATTTTTTTAAATAAAGAAAAGAGATTAAAATCAACAGAAATAAGGAAGAAAGGGAGGCATTAACTGATACATCAAACCTAGATTATAGGCCTTTTATTCGAGCAACTAAAGTGGGAGAATTACCTTTATTTTTTCTTTAATCATGAAAATCTTAATGACAAAAATCTAATAAAAACAAAGAAAATAATGAAAAATTTTTTAAAAAATCACATAAAAATTCAAAAAAATTTTTTATCAAAAAGGATCAAAAAAAAAAAAAAAAAAAAAAAAACTTAAAAAATCCAAAAGATTTCAGATAAAGATATTCAAGAAAATTTTAAAATAATTAAAATTAAAAAACCCTAAAAGATCAACATATGTTTAAGTTTCTAGAATCAAACTGACTAAATTAATCAAAGCAATAACTGAAAGAAATGGTGGAAACTTTGGAAAAACAAAAGCCTATACATATACCACTGAATGACAGAAGGGAGGCTTACCACATACATAGAGTCTCTTTTAGATAGAGAACAGGATATATCCTCAGGATATTGATACAATCATTAGTGCTGAAATACCTGATCCTTAGATCCTGAACTATATGTGATTATCAAAACACAAATTGTTCATGGTCCTTTTGATACAATGAACCCACAAGTACCATGTATGATAAAAGGACAATGTGAGAAGTGTTATCCAAAACACTTCATTAATGAAAGTAAAACTGAAGTGACAGGATATCCTATGTACGGAAGATCACCTGAAAATGGAAGAACTGCTGTCATAGCAAGAAATAGACAAATTTATACAATGGATAATAGATGTGATGAAGCCGTTTTGAGACAGAAAGAAACGAAGATAAAGTTGACAACAGGAAGATTCATTAATGCAAATGAAGCTACTTACAGGATAGAATGTGCCATTAAAACAGTTTTAACCTAGCTTGCTAGTATGTGTGAATTGGGATCAAATGTAGACTTGAATCTGACAATTATAGGATAAGGAACAAATAGGAAACTTCTATAAATTTTAAATTTAGCTTTTATATACAAGCTTAAATAAAAGTGAAATGTTAAATTTATGTTTCATATTTGTTCCTATATATATATATATATATATATATATATATATATATATATATATATAGAATTGTAGAGCATTGTGTGTACATTTTTAAACTTTAAATTTTGTATATATCTCATATGGACACACAATTCCAACATTGATAAGATATGTATAAATAAATGCTCTACAATTCTAATTTAATTCAGGCATTTGTAACACTACAGGACTTCTACTTTAGCAACATTTCATTTAAATTCTAAGGAAATTGTGCAAATAAATTAATAGGCTTAAAACTTTTTTTGTAAGACTAAATACTAAAACCCATTGGTAACACTTCAGGCTACAATACACCAAGATGAGTCAAAATTATTTTTAGCTGTTCACTAAAGCTACTAAAATAGTAACTAACATACTGATAAATATAGAATATCATGGGACATTGGTTGGCCCAGTAAAATGGATGATTGAGAAAAGTTAAAGCAGCAAAGTTATCAGGGAGAAAAAAAAAAAAATCAATGCTGCACCAAGATATCAACAGACTTCTCTCTTTCTCTCAATTTAATGTCAGATTCTTAAGCAAAAGAAAACTTGACTCTCATAAAAAAAACATTAACTGCTTAGTTGTCTTGTAAATTCAGGTTGTTGTAAAGAAATGCAACTATTTTTTTTTACTATTTTATTTCTGGTGACTAATATCTATTGGGTATTCCACTCAAATACAAGTACACTATTTTTGGACATTACTTATCTATTCTAATCAAACCTTTAATCATTGATTTTTGCTTAAGGTGTTCTTGGTCAATAATTGCAGAAAGTTATGCCAAGCAGAGTGACTCATCTTTAATACTGATTTTAGTTTTCCCTTTAGATCACAGATTTTATAAAAATAAGTATCATAGAAAGATATTATGTAATTTTTAATCTTTGAGAAGATTAAAGTTCTATACAACATATTTAAAAAAACAAAAAACTATTTTGTCAATCATTCTTAATTTGTATATCTCTTTTCTCTGGCTAAATAATCAATCCAATATAAAGTTATATATTCAGTTGTTTCAATGTCAATGATTAAATCAAGACTCCAATAAAACTGACCAATTTCATTGCAGTATTGTCGAAGTCTTCTTTACCATTACATTTTCCAGAAGTTTATATTAGCTTTAGTTTACTAATAAATTTATGGTCTACTAAGAAGGAAAAATAAAAGGTTATTAATCATTATCCTATATTAAAGTGTTTGGCAATATTTGCATTTCCTAAAAAAAACCTTGAAGATTTGACATTATCAGTTTGTTAGTAACGTGTATATATTGCTCTGGACTGAAGTAAAAATGTCATTTTCAATGTAGTAATAAATAAAGTAACCTGGTATCAATAACCTTAGATTGTGAAGATTTGGTTGATCATCTGCTGCTGTAAACATTAAATACCATGTATTATAAAAGAAGTATAGGTAAAATTTTTGGTTTAAATGAATGAGAAGAGGTAGAGGTTTTGCTTACCTGAGCACCTTCAGATAAACTGAGTGAATGAGAGAGGGACAAAAGCAATGGAGGGGAAAAATGGCGAGGGACAAAAGCAATGTTAGGGGAAAAATCATTTATATAAATCCACCAGGTAGTGGGTGTTTGCTCTTCTTTTTTGGAGTACAAAGCAGAAGGAAACAAAAGCAGTTGAAGTTTTAAGAGGAAAAATAAATAGAAATCCAGGGAATTGTATTTGGTTGGCTTTGTCAAAGTGGTCAAATTTCTAACAGTTCTGGTACATTGGAGAAAAAAAAAAAAAAAAAAAAAAAAGGAATCCTGGTTTAAGCCTCTACAAATTAATTTCCCTCAAGCTAGCTTCTTTGACAGAAGTTGGTAAGTACACTTACTTTACACTCCAATTCATTTTATTTAAACCACAAAATTATAATTACAAGTTTAGTGGATACAGATAAAAAACAAAATAAAAAAAAAAAAAAAACACATTATTCAAGGGAAAGAACAAAAAAGCAGAAATTAAGGGAAGAGATAATGATAGACATTGCATTTAAATTTTTGAAGATCAAACTTGACTGAAAAGCAAGAAGCCAGAAAAGAGTTCCACAGGTGAGAAGTGTGAGAGAAGAAACTGTTAGCATAGAAGTTATGGTTACATTTAGTCATTTCAACAGTAAAATGACGAAACCTAGATAACAAAGAGGAAAGCTCATCAGAACAATTACCATGAAAATTGTTATAGAAAAGGCATAGGGAAGCAATGTCATGACAATAGGAAAGTGACTGAAACCAAGATGCCAGGTCAGGATCAATAATATTGCAGATTCTTTTGATTTTATCCAGAATCTCTAAATACCTAGCAAAACAC